CACGAGGAAAGATTTTTTTCTGTCTTCAGTTGATTATTTCTATAATAATTGCTTCATAGATTTTTAATCAAATAAAAATGAAGGTTTACTGATTATGTATCTTTAGAAAAATGAGTGAAAGGTATTGAATTCTTATCTAGGGAAAAGCTATCTTGAGAAAGTAGAACAGGAGGGGAGCAGAGGAGCAAAGACATTGTGCAAAGCTTGATATTGAGAAGCATGTGACTTTCATAAATGACCCCAGCGAAGCTTCCTTAAATCATCCGAGTGATGAAAATAGTTCCCATAATAAAAAGCTTCCCATAAATCTCCTCAGCTTTTTGTTAAACATTAGTCTCGTGACCTGAAATTATATATTTTTACATAAAGCTCATAGATATCTTACTCTATAATTGGTGGACAAGGCAAAACAATGGCAAGCTACTTTAATTCAGTATTTTATGTAGATAATTAGTTACCCTCTGGATATAAGTAATGTTTCCTTTCTTATGATGAGTTTTCTTGAACAAAATCTAAAAACTGCTGACTGTGGTAAAAATTAACAAGAGAACTTTAAGGAGAAGACTTTAGCAGTCAGTGTCTTAAAATGCTGGGTGTAAGAATAATGAACTGCTATGGGGGACTCATGTTTGCAAAATGAGCTGCCAGTTGGTAATTAGTGGAGCTGTACAGCGCCCTGGTGAGACAGGTATGTTTTATTGCTGCCATTTTACAGATGCAAGATGGGCATCAGAGAGTAATGAAGTATTTGGCTTCAGGGAGCCTAGAAAATCAGCATCAGCAGAAAGCACTGACGTTTCTGAGACACCCAGTTGTGATGCAAGTATCACGGCCAGCGTTCACAACCACTGACTGGCTGTGCAATTTTGGTGAAGTTTCTTAGTTTCCTCATCTGTAAAATGGGAAGAGTAATAGTATTTATCTGAAAGAGTTGTATTAGAATTGAATTATTGAATCCATGCAAAACACTTTAAAAAGTACCTGGCATAAAATTAGTCATCTATTATTGTGTAGGAATTATTAGCTATATGCCTTTCTGAGCACAGGGATCTTAAAGTGGACAAAAGAAATCCCTGCCCTCGTGATTTACATTCTAGTGATTAACAGAACATTCTCTCAGCTGATGGACATCTGTGTGTGCGTCTTTCTTAGAAAGAAACAGGAAGAAATAGGTAGAAATAGGACGTCTTGCAGGCTGTCCTTTTTTTAATTGCTATGTGTAATTTCACAGCGGCTAGGTGACCTTTTTCAACTTCCTGTGTATGAGTCCTGAACAAAGAGAGGATTTTATTAATTTATGTAGAATTTGATTGAAAGCAAACACATTGGGGGTTGGGTGACAAAGACAAACAAGAAATGACCTCCTTTCTTCAGGGGCTTACAAACCAGTGAGGGAGTCAGATACACACACATGACTCTAATCAAGACTAACTCTAGTAAACATAATTTAAAAACACAGATGCAAGAGAAATAAGAGAAAAAGGAGAGAAAAAATTAAGAATGTGACTAGAAAGGATAAAGAGAGAAGGGAAGAGTATAGATAAGGGAAAGGTATGTTGATATTCAACAGGATTTTTGATATTTTGTGACTGCAAGACAGTTTGCACCATTTTGAAGGTGGAGACCGAGTGCTTAGGAGCAGATGATGTCTCGATTCTGTTGAAGTAACTTCCTAGGCCCCAGATGGAGCTGCTCCCGCCCAGGTGCCACATCAGCAAATGAAACTTAGGTCACTTTCGTGTCCCTGTAAGTGTTCCACTCTACCAGAAGCACAGTGCATCCAGTAGCCAGCCCCCAAATGCCAAGACGACTCTGGGCTCTACTTATTTCTGTGTTCCTTCTCATGCCAAACAAGGTGGACTATGTGGCCCCAACCAACTAGATATTTTCTGTTTTTCTTTCCATGTTCTTTATACTTTATCCCATAAACCCTTCCTGCCTTTGCCTCATTTTGCAGTTCTCTGAATGGAGACTATCCACTTCATAAAGTGTTAGAGAAAGTTTGTCTGTATCACCTAAATTGTCTTCATTTTTTTAAAACAGTTCCCTCATTATGAGTAGGGCTTGTTTTTGAAGAAAAGCACTGCTGGTGAGTAAATAAAAAATAGAAATTTTTTGGTGACTTATACTTGATGTTCTTCATTATTTTAAGTACCTTTTCATATTCAAACAGTATTCATTTGAGTTCAAAGAAAATGAAGGGCTTTTTGAGCATGAAAAGAGAAAAGTAACTAAGAATTGGGCAAGCATGATGAATTGAATAGGGACTCTCTAAGTAGTTTGCTTCCTCCTCCAGGCCTCTCTCCACGCGCAAGACAACAGAGCAGGGCCTTGATTACAGTGTGGAGAACACTGCTCCTTGTGGTGAAGCATTTTTTAAAATGTATGCACATATTTAACTTCAGTAGCTGTAAACAAAAAACTACAGCCTTTGGGGGTTCAGATAACGTATCTATTAACTGTGTAGGCACAAATGTAGCATTTGGACATAGCTAGAGCTGTAAGAGATTATCTTCCTAGACTCTTATTTTACAGATGAGGAAACAGGACAAAGAAAGCTGAGGTCTGAGTCAAACTCGAATCTTTGAACACCCAGCCCAGGGCCTATTTCTAATCTACCTCATTCTCTGAGCACAGGTCACTGGTAACAACAGCATGCTGTTTCACCTCAGACATGTGTAGACACTTCACATCCCAAGCAGCTTAACTTCTTTTGTGAGTTACAGAATAATGCTCCTAACGCAACGAGAACTTAATAAAACAGCATGAATTCCTCAGAGAATAGTGTAAATATTGATCGTTCGTGGATTTATTATGAGTTAGCGATACAGAGTAACTTTGATTAAAAGGAAAGGTAAGGTTTAAACGCTATAAATTAAAGACTGAGGAGAATGTGAATATTACAGCGAGCTGAGGATTGAAACGCTGTCCGCTCTCTGAGACAAGTGCCTCGGTTAACAGTGGGTGTGCCGCCTGCGATCACCCTCACCTGTTCCTACCCCCATCCCCCAGCTTCCGTGTTTTGCTTTTATAGGCTTGTACCCGCACCTTCTTTAGAGACGTAAACTTGGGCTACTGGAGCCGCTACAGAGCACCAGAGTGCCTATGACTCTTTTCTGCAAACTACATGTACATCTCCATTAAGGCTTGTAACCAATGACCCACTGGAGCCAGAATATGGAAGCTCAGCTTCTTTGTCTCCGTAGGATGAACTCAGAGATGTAGTTTAGGTTCCAGGGCTCGCCTTGGTCATTCTGAGTTTAGTTGGCATCTTCCTTCATAGTCCTGCTTACTTCATTCTCTTACCATTTCTCCTGGGAGCTTTCTTAATAATCATTTGCCCATGAATTCCTGTCTCAGGGTCTACTTTTGGGCAACTCGATCTAAGACAACTACCAAAGCTACTTAGGATCCATCCATCCATCCATATACCCAACCATATTTGTCTGTGCTTGCTACCTCCCTCTCTCTTCTTTGCCTCTTTCTATGTACCTCTGTCCCCCACCCCACTCCAACCCAATAGGAAACACTTGAAACAGCATGGGGTACACTGTATTCCAGTCTATATTTCTCTACACTTATATAATCGTACACAAATATACACATATTGGGGGGAATATTTGTGTTCCAAAAACAGGATCATTTGTACATCTAGTCCTTTGTATCTTACTTTTATTACTGTACAATATTTAGGTTCCTAATAAAGAAGGAAATTAGCACTTTCAACTAAATGTTCTGTTGTAAGTTGCCCTAGTTATAAATTTTATAAAAATAGTTGCTTGGAAGGAGAAACCATGTTATAGATGTAGATATGGAAAATGTACAGTTAGAATCTGAAGTCATAGTTGGGAAAAAGTTTTAATGCTGTCAATCATCTTATGCTCTCTCTGAAAGGTTTGATATTCTAATACCTTTGATTGGTCGACTATGCCTTGTGTATTTATGTACAAAAAGATAGTCATTTTTATTTAGTTTGTACGCTATTCCCATGCTATTGTGTTCTGATTGTATATTATATTATATTATATTATATGCCAAATATTTTCCTGTTGTTTTCTTAAATGATGTTTAATAGTGATTTAGTGTGCTTTTCATCTTTAGGTCTGTTTATAATTAATATTTACAACCCACTAGAAGGGTTGATATCTTTATTTCCATTTTGTAAATGTGAATCCGAGACATAGGGAGATTAATTGACTTTTTCCTGGCCACAAGCACAACGAGAGTCAGAGGCAGAACATGAATTAGGAATCCTTGGCTTCCAAGGCCAGTGTAATCTATTAGCTCTGGATCGTTGCCATTTTCTTACAAGATAAACTCCTGCATAACATCGTTTATCTTACCACTAAAACATGGATATTATGTCAATTACCATATTTCAGAACCTTATTGAATTCTAAAATTTTGATTGGATGAATGTGGTTCCCTTTTTAGGGAACGTATGATTTGTCCGTAATTGGAGATATTGCACTGAACTTCAGTTTATAAAATAAAACAGCAGATCTAAATGTAAATAAAATTTTTAATCAGCTATTTCCATTTATCCCTTAAATTATCCTTTCGAAATTATAGTGGGCTGTAACCTTAAACTCTTTGGCAAAGTATATGGCCTACACAAACTCACTGTAGGTTACATTAATTCCATTTTACCATTTCTTCCCAAGTAGATTTTGGAAACAATGTCAACTAAGCGTAACTAGTTGCAGGAGTTGCCACTTCTTACTATATTGTAAAACTCTCTAGAGTAAGTCATGACAGAGATGAACATCTGTATCTTCTACTCTAATCTGACATAAGACGAGACAAATTAATCAAGAAGTTATAAGCAGAAAAGTAAATTAGAGAGTATTCAAAGACACGGGAGGTATGAGGTTATGCCAAAGAAGAACAAGTTTTAAAGTAAAATAATATAGCATAACAACATGCTTAATATATACATATATATATATATATCTATATATGTATATGTAGTATTTTAGAAAGCTCCAAATAAGACCTACTTTCTCATAGTACTTGATCTCGTAGTCCAGTATGGCTCCATTGGAAAAAGCAGGTGCTTGCCATGATAGGGCAATGCTATTTTGGGATGCCCAGTCCTTCCTTACCATACCTATCAGGGAAGGTGCTGAAAGGAAAGAAAACAACTAAGAATTAATTGGCAGGAATCATTCTCCAGAATCCTTTCTTTAATATTTTGTCTTCCAAAGAAAATGTAATTCTTATTGAACAGGACATCAATTGTTGATGTCAGATTAAGAAGATAGACTTAAGATCTACTCATTCAATCCAAATAAAGTATTAAAACATATTTAGAAATACTACTAGGGAACATAGGAAAAACTCAATTAGTCCAGAAATAAGGGCCAGAGCTCATCATCTTCGGTTTTGTTAGAGGAGGACATTTTTCTTTAAACTGGCTTTGGTTTTGAGCTATGACATGAAGAACAATACACTTAGCTCCTATGTTTTATCAAACCTTAATCTGCTATAGAAAAATCCTCTGCAATTACAAGATATTCAAGACTAGGTTCTTTATAAAGTCTCAGTACTTTAAGGAAGTTTATATCACAAACTTCTTAACTACAGTAAATTATTGCTTATTAATGTGAGGATTCTTTCTTTTGCAAGCTTTCTGTGATATCTGCATAAAATTGAAATATATAACTTCTGAATTTTATTTTAAGAATCATGTCTTTTTTTCTATGTAACATTGTTTTAACAATCCAATCATAACCTAAAGTAATCTTGCGTTAAACTTCCAAAATTTACCCACAATGCATACAGTGTAGATTCTTTTCTCTAATAACATATTTCTCATCTTTAAGTATTCTCCTTTTTAAAAACAGTAATTTGTGTTTTTTTTTTTTTTTTGAGGAAGATTGGCCCTGAGCTAACATCCATGCCCATCTTCCTCTACTTTATATGTGGGACACCTGCCACAGCATGGCTTGATAAGCGGTGCATAGGTCCACACCTGGGATTTGAACCAGCAAACCCCAGGCCACAGAAGTGGAGCATGAGAACTTAACTACTACGCCACTGGGCCAGCCCCTAACAACAGTAGTTTTTTATATAGAAGTTAAACGTCACTCATAAAAAGAGAAATACAAATTAAATCTATTGAGATACCTTTTCTCATCTATCAGATTGGCAAAAAATCCAAAAGTTGGACACTGGCTCTGTTGGATAGGCTGTGGGGGAAAAGCACTTTAATACATTGTTGGTGGGAATACCAAATGGAACAACTCTTAGGAAGGGAAATTCAACAATTTAAGGCCAATTATATGTTCACTTACACTTTGGCTTTTTGGAATCTATTCCAAAAAGACATTGCACAGATAGGAAGTGACATATTTACAAGACTACTCACTAAGATTTATTTGTAAAGATTGGAGACAATTTAAATGTCCATCCATAAAAGACTGGTTGAAAAAGCTATGCTACATCCACTGGTGAATTGTGAAGTTGTAAAAAGGAATTGTGACTATCTATAAATACCACCGTGGGATCACTTCAGGATGTGTTTTTAAGTGAAAAAGTAAGGTGGAAAAAATGTATAAAAAACTATACAGTAAGAATAAGGATAAACCTAAGAATAAAAAATAATAAAAATGCTCACCTTTACGGGGTGAGAAGCAACAGGATGGACACTACAGTGTTAAAAGCTAGACATCTCAGAATATACTTTCCCTGAAGATTTACTTTGGAACCATGTAAATATCTTAAATGATTAGGAAACAAATTAACATTTAAAAAAGCAAACTAAAAAAATTTTTAAAATAAACAAAAGAAAGAAACCTGTTTATTGAGTTGGAGGTATAGCCTCCAAGAGGAACTACTTAAAGTGACTTAAAACATGGTAACTTAGCATCCAGCCCAGTGGGGTATATTTTAAGGACTGGAAAAAAATGCAAAATTATTAAACTATTTTTAATAATGATATTGTTGGTGGTAGTACTGGTATTGTAATTCTGAATCTGTGTGTATATATTGAGGGATAAAGTGAATGAGTAATTATGTTGGTGCTACTGACAACTAGGATTTTTCTTTCCTGGGGAGAAACGAGATATGGATGTCAGATCAATGAAGATAAGCAATAACTCTATAGAAGTAAACTCATGATAATAAAAATTAGAAATGTAAATATCATTATGAACTCATGATATCTTTCCAATTCATTTTAAGAAATCTATTCAGGGGGCTGGCGTGGTGGCACAGTGGTTAAGTGTGCATGTTCCACTTTGGTGGCCCAGGGTTCACCGGTTCAGATCCCGGGTGCTGACATGGCACTGCTTGGCAAGCCATGCTGTGGTAGGCGCCCCACATATAAAGTAGAGGAAGATGGGCACGGATGTCAGCTCAGGGCCAGTCTTCCTCAGCAAAAAGAGGAGGATTTGCAGCAGATGTTAGCTCAGGGCTAATCTTCCTCAAAAAAAAAAAAAAAGAAAGAAAGAAAGAAAAAAAAGAAATAAAAGAAATCTATTCAAACGTACGAATCACAGGTGAGAACAGGATTTGAAAAAATTGATTCTCTATGATTAAGATCAATATACTTTAAACTCCAAAGAAAGACAAGTATTAAGTTTGTATTTTACTTCTGAATGTTGCCTTTGTAGCTTAAGGATAAAATATTTTCTTAAATTTATGAGAATGACAAGTTTGTTTCTCCTAAGGAAATAAGTACTTTAGAAACTATATTTAAAACTCATTCCAGCTATTCGATGAAAGCATTATTGTGGGACTAAAATATATTCTTAAACATGAGTGATAATTACAGAAATTGCTAAGCAATAGAAGAGCTTTTGCTATAGTCTAAAAGAGAAATGGAGAATGTGGTAAATAAGAAAAAGTGCTCAGATAATTCATATTTAAATTGAGTCATATTCACTACTAATAAACTATTATTAATAAATTTATCCCTGTTGGAAACATTAATATTTCCGAATTATAGTGTATTAAATGGTGCCTTATGGAAAAACTATAACTTTAAAGTGAATCATACAAATTAGAAGTTGATTTAAATATATCAATTCATTACAATTTTTGAAAATGTCCTTTTCACGTACACAATTTTATGGTTAATTTTCAGTTTAATGTGCAATGTCATAGAACAGTGTTACCAGTGTATTACATTTTGCCTCATAATTATTTAGCACTCAAGGTCAAATGATAAAATCTTTGCGAAGCTTCGATTCAGTTTTGGCAGCAGCACCTCAGAACTAGTGACTGACCAGAGGCACGCCCTCTTCTATGTCCAAGCCTTCGACGGCTACCTCACTGTATGGGCGCATCATCTAAATTTTGTGAGTCCTCTCCCATACTTCTATAAAATAGAAACAAGGAAAATCTGTTCCCTGACTGCACAGATTCTTCACTTCGACATGGACTTCAGGTCTAAGAACTATGTGAACCCTAAAATCTCTCCACTTTTGCACATTCCTTTCATAGGTAAATATCTGAATTTTACATAGCTGTAAAACATACATAATTTTTTATAATTCTATTTTTAAATCATATGGTCTAATCCCCATTCTATTTTGATATAGTCTCCATAATTATTACTTGAATGGCTAAAATATTCAATTATAAAAGGAATGATATAATAGCCAGTAGAGGTGTGTGGTATAAATTACTGAAAACAGCAGCCTAAAGGCAAGCTTAACAGTGAGCACATTAAATCAGCCAGTCATAAGACTAATAAAGTAGGAATTAAACAGGCACAGATTATGCTGGAAAGACTTTAAAGATAATGCTTCAGGTCCTCCTCAGTGTAACCAAGTGCTGACACTGCTGTGTCATTTGGACTCATCAGTAATAAAGTGATTTTTCACTGTGGCCTCCACAGGTAGTGAGAGTTTTCTGTGTAAATATTTCCGCACATTTTTCACTAACGTCTTGTCAAGCTACCTGCCATATTGGCATGTCAGAAAGAAGTAGAAAGAGTGAGCAAGTTTTGTGTTACATGATGATATTTCCTTGGGAAAGACCCTTGAAATTCAAAGCTAAAGGCTTTAACAAAAATAGAACAACATTAACTCTGAGGACAAACTGGAAAAAAAATTAGTCCTATATTATCTATAACTTAAGGTGATATCATCAGAAACAGGAAAATCTCTCTCTTTTCTAATAACAAAGGCAGAGAATAGAGAAACCTGACAGATTGTGAATTAAATAGGGAAAATCTGTAGGACCATAGTGTCCAAAATATTTTTTAAGGAAACAGATTGAGTACTTTTTAAATGTAAAGAATATATAAAATAACAGGTAGTTAAATAGATGTCTTTTTATAACTGCTTTAGAAATCTATTCTTTAACACTTACCAATTTCCCTATGAACCACAAATATATCCAAAATTAAGGTCTTGAAAGAGAACTGAGTTGAACTGTTGTAAGTTTCCTATTGCTACTGTAACAAATTACCAAAAAATGAGTGTCTCAAAAACCACGCATATTTATTATTTTACAGTTCTGGATGTCAGAAGTCCAAAATGAGTCTTACAAGGTGTCAGGAGAGCTGGTTCCTTCTGGAAGCTCCAGGGAGAAGCCATTCCCACCCTCTTCCTGCTTCCACAGGCTGCCTGCATTCCTTGGCTCACAGCTTTTTCTGCTGTAGATGTCTCCTCCTACCTCCCTTTTATGGGGACACTTGTGATTACATTGGGCCGACCTGGATAATCCAGGATACTCTCCCCATCTCAAAATCCTTAACTTAATCAAAACTGCAAAGTCCCTTTTGCCATAGAGAACATCCACAGGATCTGGATTATGATATGAACATATCTGAGTGCCATTATTAGCCTATCACAGCTGTGACATGGCTTAACATACCACATTGTTATTCTCAGGTATAGAAAAGAGATAGAAAGCAGAAAGAAAGTAAAGCACCAATACTGCTGAATTTAAGTATCACATGTATATTTCAACTCATAACCAGGTCTCAACCACATGGGGAAAATAGATAACAACGTATATTACCACTAAACTCTTATTACGTTGGAAGAAAAGCACGTGAGGCAGATATTGTTATATTGTTCTTATAAATATTTAATAAAATATTTAATAAACATTTTCAAAACAAGATATAGATCAGAAATATTTCGAAGTATGCTCTCAGGTTTTAAAAAT